AGAGGAGGAGTAAACGTGCAGCCGACAGAATCGGTACAGTTCAAAGACACGTGCACGGTTTGTTGGGGCGTGTTGCTGGGAGAGAGAGGTAGCGTCTGAACGGAAGGGGGGCAGTTGATTTGACACTGCGTTACTACTATGATGTGCAATATTGACCGGAAAAATAGGTGACGGTAAAAAAGGATCCACTAATGGGTTTGTGTTCACTGTCTGGTCAGGTAGGAAGGGATTCGAATGGCGGGACTCGGAACTGCAATTCTGACACAAGGGTGTGTTCTGAAAGAGGGAGGGAGGGAGAGGCCATAGCTTCCTCTAGTAAACGGACAAAGTCTATCCGATCTGACTCAATAGACATCCAGTCCTGATCTGGCATTGTAGATGAATTAGGCGTTGTACTACACTATTTATCATTAAAACGAGAGATTGATTTAGGAAAAAGGTAAACCAGAAATGACGCAAAAACGAATCGAAAACGAACGGCAATATGAAACTTGCGAGGAAACGGTAAGAATGTTACAAAAGTAGGAAGGAACGTACGAAACTGGAAAAAAGGTGTGGATCGGCTTGTCGGATAAATGTCAAATGCAACACGATAACATACATGGTGGGAGCTCAGTACAAACGGCACAATAATAATAATAATAAAACGTTCGAACAATGCGAAAAGATAAACAGGATGGACTTATGGTAAATCGGCGAGCGATAGGATGGTATCACGCGCGAAAGGGGCTCGGAAAGGCAAGACATCCAGGTCAGTCGATTGAAACAAGTATGGTTCAGGGTGGTTCGTTACATCGCCGACCGACAACCCCTGGTGAGTCTGCCCTCCCACCTTTGTGCAGCATCCTCCTAGCGGCAAGAACACCAAAGGTGCGAAGGAGGCTATTGTGTGAACGGGGCCAGGTAAAGTTAAACGTGTAGTCGGCGACTGCCGTGGCCGGCAGAATCGGTACAGTTCAGAGACACGCGCAGGGGTTGTTGGGGCGTGGTGCTGGGAGAGAGAGG